CACACACACACAGCCTCTGCCTAGGGAGCAGCTGACATCATTCTCCTCTCCCAACTGAAAATTCCAACTGCCTTGGGGGGGGGGGTGAGTTTGAGGTGTGGAATGGAGTGTAGTCCAATCAGCTTCCATATGTAAATGACCTTGGAACGCTGGCCGGGACTGCACAAAGCAGCCAATGAACCCAGCCAGTGTCTTCCGAGTGGCAGTTTTTTCGGCCTAACACTAAAGGGGCCAATTTTAGAATTCTGGCACCCAAAACTCTTTTATAATAAGGGAGAGATTACTAAGTGTGGCAGGTCAGCTCTGGCTTGCAGGCCCTCTTTTGCCCTGCCTTCCAAGGTTTTTCTCAACACCTGGAGTGACTTCTTCCTCTCTCTCTCTCTGGTAACTCGCCCCCACCACCTTACCATCGTAGGAACTACCCACTGGGAGGGGTCAGGAGTCGACTCCCAGCTTCCCTTCCAAGTTCTGAGTCCTTGTCTCTGTGTCTCCCACTGCCCAGCTCCTGGTCACTACAGGGACAGTTTATTGCCTCACATGCTCCTGGAGGAATAGCCACTTGCCAACTGCCAGCCTTTCCCCTGGCACGCCTTTTAAAATAGCGTGTCCGAGACAGTGGAGGTCTATGTGGTAAAGAGAACCACTCCCACCACCAAAAATTATGAAGTATTTGTTAAAAAGAAAATGTTTACAAGCATACTGTTAGCACAGCACCAGATTGAGCAAGGGATCCAAAAGAAATGGGTAAAATGCACATCATCTGTCCCTCTCTTTATACATGCCCTATCAGATGTTAAAATACAGGACAGGCCCCTTTAGATTAGGTAGTTACAAATCCCTACAAAATCCATTACCTTGAAGCTCCCACTAGCTCTTTAGGACAGCACATGGTAAAAAATGGCTGCCTTCCCAGAGGAGAGGTCTGCATGCTCTCAGGAACCCAGCACTTGAAGAGAGAGAGCTCCTTTCTCCTGCAAGGAGTTTTTGTCATATCTGTTTCTCCGCCCACTGACCCAGTCAGGCTTTTCCTGAAGATTCTTCCTGGAGATTCTCTAGCATTTCATTCCTACAAATCTCTGTTCCTGCTTAAAGGGGGGAAAATGGGAGAGTTTGGCCATCCCATTGTCTCTGGCTAGACTTAGAATTTCTTAAGAGGTAGCTGAGGTGATTGGAAAGCCATTGACTGACGTCCTCCTTCTCAGCCTGTTCTCTGCCCAGAGGGAAAAAAAAACCTTTAAAAATGCAAAGTGGAGGTTTTCCATTGTGTAATGTGGTCATGCAGCCTCTAATTATCTACTAGATATAGTAAAGGCAAGCAAGACAGATCCAGTGTCTTTAAGCCAGAAAATGTGATTTCTCACATGATACCAGCATGACTGGGGTCTGCCCTGGAGCTCCCCTCCTCTGTGCAGGGTATGACAAGCACAAGCATAACTTTCTTGCTTGGCTAGCCAGGAAAAGTGCACAAGGCTTTCAAGTTTAGTCACAGTACAGCTTGGGAAATATGAGGCAAAAGCTTGTAACATTTTTCAGACCTCTCTTGCGAGGGCTGCATTTCCAGCGCAGAGAGATGGGAAAAGATGAAACCAGTGCTTTGCTACCTAAGGTAAAAGTCTGAATTTGCAGTTTGTTCTGACCTTCTGATTTGCCCTTACCTTTTGAGACCTTGTATCTTTCTTCTCTGGGTGTGCTGTTGCTTTATTGCGGGGTGGGGTTCATTATCTGTCTGTGCAGGAGTACAAATAAACTTTATGCATGTGGGCAGAAGCAACTGTGGCTCTGAGTCTGAGGATTCTTCCTAACCTGCTGCACCTTTACTGACAGTGACTAATCCTTAGTATTGCTGTTGTTCTACTGCTTCAAATCAACACGGCTGACCACCTGGATCTAATCCTTAGTATCTTTACTTTAAATTAAATCTGAATTCACTGGAACTTACTTCCAAGAACATGTGCTTAGAAGTGATGTGAGAATGGCAAATCATGAGAATTCCTTAAAAAAATAAGGCTAGACATTAATAATTTGATTACTGGATTGGTCCTTTACTGATATTTCACATGAGAGAAACAATATCACTTTTACAATAGCCCTCACATACCACACTTTTTAGGTTGCCAAGATCAAAGGCAGCTTTCCTTTTTCCTTCATGTGGCTGTTGCCATCTTTAATGGGGAGAGCTGCTTTTATTATGGATTGGAAAATCTGTTGTTACTACCATATGTACACACCGTGCTCCTGCCTCCTCTTGCTTGCTTGAGGTGGAGGCATGGATAAAGAAGTCTTTGTTGACATTGTAGCCACAACAGATGGGGAACATTCTTAGAGTGTAGTTTTTAAAAAACTCTCTTCTGCCCTATCTAGTACTCTCTGCCCTATGCATGTGTACAGCAGTACAGCAGGGGATGAAATAATATACACGGTACTCTTTGTCACCACATCTCTGACTGTCTTCACTCTCTACTTCTTTCCTCTGCTGATCAGAGAAACAGAGTGGATATATTTTGTCCATCTAATGCACAGAGTTTGTCACCAAATTCTACCAGAGAAGGAGAAACTGGCTCACCTAGGAAGCAGGCAATACCATGGCATGTTCGAAAGCCTTCTTATCGCTCACTGAACTCCCTTAGCAGCTGTGTGAAATATTTGAACTTCTTTTGGAACATGGTTTTCTTCATGGCAGGGTTGTTCATTTTGGCCATAGGGATCTGGGGTCTTTTTCACAAGGAGTCCCTGGCGAGCGAGCGGATAACCTATTTGGGTAGCGACCCAATGCTCTTTTTTGTATTAGCGGGTCTAGTAGCCAGCACAATGTCTCTGCTGGGTTGTATGGGGGCCCTTTTTGAAAACACCCGACTCTTGAAGCTTTTGAATGGAGGAATCATCATCTTTGTGATCATGGAAGTCTTGGGTGCAATCATACTCTTTTCTCTGAGACATCAAATCAAGGCCTCCTTGCGAGATTCACTGATGGTGGCAGTGCTACGGTACCAAGATGATGCAGATCTCCAATTCATTATGAATGAAATTCAGTCAGGTCTGCAGTGCTGTGGTGTGGAGTCTTACCAAGACTGGATGACAAATTTGTGAGTATAAACCTATTTTTTATTCTTTTTTCTGTATTCTATCAGGAACTAGCACTGTATAAATAAATCTTCATTCCCCCATGATACAACTGCTAAAAACAGTACTTTTTGTTTTGTTTTGAGTCCTACCTTGTTGGGTTGCAATCTTTCCTACAAAACAATCCCATTGGTCTCTCCTTTGCCTGGTTGCTTGTGATGCAGTTGATAAAGGCCTTCAAAAACTAGCCTATGTTGATCTTGCTTTCTCTGGTTTTAAACCTGGTGTCATTCAACTATTAAAGCCTATTTGATTTCATTACCTACCAAAATCCAGATGAGAGGGATTCTGATCCAGTCACATAGACACTGAAATAATTGAAATAATGGGGCACATTATTTGTCATTCATTTAAGCATTATTTGTTTTCTCTGGATTGGGACCAAAGTCTGTAAAGAAGCCTCACTGCCAAAGCAAAACAGTTATGGTGTCCAATCTGCAATATTGGTCTCCTGAATAATTTTCGTTCCTTATAACAGCGTTCACTGAGGTATTATTACCTTAGGATTTATAATTTGTTTTATTATTGTACTAGGAGTAATGCCTGTTGTGGGAAGAAATACAACGAGATCTAGAAGGAAGCTCCAGATGAGTGTCCTGACTGTGGCTGGTGGGGCAGCAGAGGGAAGTGGAAAATGGAGGGAGGCAAGCCATGTTTCTTTCCTTCTGCTTAGCTACAAGGCAGGGCTGTCTCAAGTCATTTTGCTGCCCCAAGTGGGTAGAATGGGAGGACAGCCTCATGGTAACAGATATGGGCTGATTTCGCACAAGAGCTGCCTTGATGTTGCGCCGCCGTTTGCCCCGATACTATTGGTCAATTTCACACCCGAAGCTGCGGGGCTGCATTTGAACCGCGGCTTCGCCCGATTTCCTCTGCAGTTTCGTGATCCTCACAAAACTGTGGGGGAAATCGGGCGAAGCCGTGGGTCAAAATGCACCCCCACGGCTTCAGGTGTGAAATTGACCAAGGATGTATATTGTCGCCTTGCTTATTTAATATATATGCAGAGTACATCATGCGAAATGCTGGCCTGGATGAATCACAAGCGGGAATTAAGATTGCTGGGGAAAAGATCAACAACCTCAGATATGCAGATGATACCACTCTAATGGCTGAAAGTGAAAAGGATCTAAAGAGCCTCTTGCTCAGAGTAAAAGAGGAGAGCGCAAAAGTGGGCTTGAAGCTCAACATCAAAAAAACTAAGATCATGGCATCCGGCCCCATCACTCCTTGGCAAATAGAAGGGGAAGTCATGGAAGTAGTGACAGACTTCATGTGAAAAGGATCTAAAGAGCCTCTTGCTCAGAGTAAAAGAGGAGAGCGCAAAAGTGGGCTTGAAGCTCAACATCAAAAAAACTAAGATCATGGCATCCGGCCCCATCACTCCTTGGCAAATAGAAGGGGAAGTCGTGGAAGTAGTGACAGACTTCACGTTCCTGGGATCCCAGATCACCGCAGACTGTGACTGCAGCCATGAAATTAAAAGACGCCTGCTCCTTGGGAGGAAAGCGATGGCGAACCTAAACAGCATGATAAAAAGTAGAGACATCACCCTGCCAACAAAAGTCCGCATGGTCAAAGCAATGGTATTCCCAGTAGTCATGTATGGCTGTGAGAGTTGGACTATAAGGAAGGCCGAGCGCCGAAGAATAGATTCTTTTGAACTATGGTGCTGGAGAAGACTCTTGAGAGTCCCTTGGACTGCAAGAAGAACAAATCAGTCAATCCTCAAAGAAATCAACCCTGACTGTTCCCTGGAAGGCCAGATAATGAAACTGAAGCTCAAATACTTTGGCCACCAAATGAGAAGGGAGCACTCACTGGAAAAGACCCTGATGCTGGGAAAGATTGAAGGTCAAAGAAGACGGGGACGGCAAAGGA